TCTTTACATGTCATTTTATATGAAGTCGCTCTTTTTAAATTATGTCATTAATTTCAGTATCCCAAGTTTGGTATAGAAAAGAGAAATTCATCTGATTGTTGGATAAATTAATGACATAGTTGTCAGTTGACCTTTTTCTTAGGTTGGGCTACAGAGTCACAGTGCTTTCTTAAAACTTGATTTTCACTATATGTAATGTTGATTTATAGTAACTAAACTTACAAAAGGTTTTCCCTCTTTTATAGGAAAGAAAATTAATTTATAGCATTATCTCTGTCAGGAAGGTATTGATTTTTGGACCTGTTTTATTTCTTTAAATTGTTATTTCTGTTAATAAGCAAGCTATATAGTTTAATCCAAAGAATCTTTTTCTGACAATTTGTTTCATTATCATTAATAACTGTAAATCAGAGCCTTGTTATTGTGCTGTAAACTGTGGTATCCTGAGTTTATTTGTTTTACAATAGTTAGTATCAGATATTGCATTATATTAGTGAATTTTGAATTTGTTTGGAATTAATTTTATAGAATGATTGTTTAAAATAACTATTATTGTGGTGGGTGAAATGTACTGTTTTTTCACTTGCCTTCATTTGCTTTGGTGGGTCAGTGGAGAATATTTTTCTAGTTTCCTACAGAGTAAAATCTTTAGCGTTTTATGAACAAAGTAAATCCTTGACATTTGCTGGATATTCATAGCTTCTCTTAAAGACTTCATTTGGTTGTGAGGAAAGTAATCAAAAGTGCCCCTTTGCCTGTTCGATGAAGTTTCAAATAGTCTTTCAATATTAATGTGTTCATCTTTTGGTGTTCCCTAAAACATCCTCTGTATCTGTGAAAAGCCAGAGTATTCCTGCTTGTAAAATAACAGGAGAATTTAAAACCATGCATAAAACAGCTTTTCATCAAGAATCACTGTAGGTAAAGAATAAATTTTTTTTCAGGAATTTTTATACCTTAAGTGTTACACTGCAGAATACAAAACATTTGTATTCTCACAAAAATCAAATTAATCTTTTCTGACAATATTTGAGAAACTAAATTTAAAGTAAAAATCCTTATGAGTCTATAAGTAGTTTAAAACAAACTGTAGTAGACAAGAAGCAGTAGGGTATATATTATATATTTAATAAAAGCCTACTAAAAAAGGAAGTTATACACTTCAGATCCAGAGGGCCAAGTTATTTTAACTTGCTTCCCATAAGAACCTCAGTGTACTTTTCTATTTTTAGACTTTTATTTGTTTTCTTATATTTTAGTATTCTTAAAACTCAATTCTTATTAAAAAATACTTTGAACTCTTAACAGCTTTTGAAAGACATATTAGGACCAGGTGACATTGATGCCCGTGTGTTGAAAAAAATGATATTCTATCTTTAAACACCCCAGTGTATTACTTGAATTTGATCCTGAACAAAACTGGCAAACCTTCCTGGTGATTTCATTTTCTCTGTCAACAATTTTACGTTAACATTCACTTCATGCTTAAAAATTATTTGTTTAAAATACTACAAAAATGACTTGCAATCCTAAACTAGATATCTTCATTTCACATTGTGCTCAATATTTGAAACTTAAATGCATACTACATTTTGTTAGGGATACCTAGGGATAAATGCAAAATTTCTTTCATTTTGTTCAGTGGAAAGCTACAGCCTTATATTAGATGTAAAGTAGAAAATTGTAAAAATAACAGTACATTCACTGCATTACCAGATGAAAGGAAAGTCATGAGTATAATACAATCAGATAAAATATGTGCTAAAATGTAAAACCCACTGAGATTTAAACAGAAAACAAATTTGAAATACAAGGGGAGTATTAATCTGATAAAAGTGATCAGAAAGGTACCTATAGCAGACATCCTACTCAGTGATGCAATGTTGTAAGCTTCCCCTCAGACCACAGGAGTAAGATGAGGATTGTTGCTATTCTATGGCTTCTATTCACCATTGAGTTAGAGGTCTGAGCCAATTAGTTGGTGAGGGAGGAAGGAGCATGAAAAACATAATATAAAGGTTGGAAGGGAAGAAATGAAACTATAACTTGTAGATAATTATGCATGTAAGAATTAGTGAGTGTAGTAAAATTGTTGGATTTAAGGTGAAATAAAGTTAATGGAGATAAAACAAAGTTAAAAATATCTTTTATAATAGCACTTAGAAATATCAAATAGGAAGAAAACATTTTTAAATTTTATTTTTATTTTTTAAATATATTTTATTGATTATGCTGTTACAGTTGTCCTGATTTTACCCTCTTTCCCCGCTCCACCCAGCACCCCTTACTCCCTCAGGCAATCCCCCCACTATTGTTCATGCCCATAAGTTTTTTGACTACTCCATTTCCTGTGCTGTACTGTACTATACTGTACATCCCCATAGCTATTCTGTAAATACCTGTTTGTACTTTGTAATCCCTTCACCTCTTCACCCATTCCCCTACAGCCCCTCCTGTCTGGCAGTCGTCATAATGTTCTCTATCTATGATTCTGTCTCTGTTCTTGTTTGCATAGTTTGTTTTTTAGATTCAGTTGTTGATAGATAAATATTTTTGCCATTGTATTATTCATAGTTTTGATCTTTTTCTTACATAAATCCCTTTAACATTTCATATAATAATGTTTTTGTGATGATGAACTCCTTTAGTTTTCTTCTTGTCTGGGAAGCTCTCTATTTGCCCTTTCATTCTAAATGATAGCTTTGCTAAGTAAAATAATCTTGGCTGTAGGTCCGTGCTTTTCATGACTTTGAATATTTTTCTCCAATCCCTTCTAGTCTGTAAAGCTTCCTTTGAGAAATCAGCTGACAACCTTAGGGAACTTCTCTGTGGGTAACTAACTTCTTTTCTCTTGCTGCTTTTAAGATTCTCTCTTTATTTGTAACCTTTGGCATTTGAATTATGATGTGTCTTGGAGTGGGCCTCTTTGCATCCATCTTGTTTGGGGCTCTCTGTGCTTCCTGGACTTGCATGCCTATTTACTTCACCAAATTAGGGAATTTTTCTTTCATTATTTTTTCAAATACATTTCCAATTTCTTGATCCTTCTCTTCTCCTTCTGGCACCCCTGTGAAGCGAATGTTGGACTGCTTGAAGTTGTCCCAAAGGCTCCTTAAGCTACCCCCCCCCCTTTTTGGATTCTTTTTTCTTCTTCTTGTTCTGATTGGTTGTTTTTTTTCTTCCTTACATTTCAAATCATTGATTTGATTCTTGACGACTTTATCCACTCTACTGTTGTTTCCCCATAAATTGTTCTTCATTTCAATTAGTGTATCTTTGTTTCTGACTGGATCTTTTCTGTGCCGTTGACATTCTCACTAAGTTCCTTGAGCATCCTTAAAAACAGTGTTTTGAACTCTGCATGTGATAGATTGCTTATCTCCATTTTGTTTAGCTCTTTTTTGTGGAGTTTCTTCATGTGGGTCATGTTTCTTTGTATCTTTGTTTTGACAGCCTCCCTGTCTTTGTTTCTGTGTATTAGGTAGAGCTGCTGTGACTCCATGTCTTGGTACTGTGGCCCAATGGAGTAGGTGTCCTGTAGGGTCAAGTGGCACAGCCTTCCCTGTCAAGGTGTGCCCTTTGTGTGGGCTGAGTACGCCTTCCTCTTGTAGTTGAGCCTTGGTTGCTTTTGGCAGATCAATGGTAAGGATTTACCCAGGCCAGTCAGCTGCAAGGATTGGCCGTGACCACTTAACCACCAGCCTCCAACCTCCATGGAAGATCAGCTGTGCAGGGGCAGGATGATAGTGCTCTGATGTGGTCTGTAGTTGTCCACTGGGTAGCCCTGGGGTTTCCCAGGTAGTGCAGGCCAAGGTTAGCCCCTACCTGTTTTTGCCTGGGGCCACCTTGCCTATGTTGTAAAGCAATGTGAGATAGCTGCTATTTGTGTTGAGCTTGGAGATTCCCAGGTGAAGCGAAGCTGAATCTGGGCTGGCTGCTGCTAGTGTGGGGCCTGGGGCTCACTGAGGCCAACTTTTGTTTGAGAGGATTTAGGAAGTTGTGCAGTATGAGCCAAGAGAAGTCATTTGTATAGAATGGGTGGGCCTGTGAATTTGGTTGGGCAGAATCTCTGGGGGTCTCCAAGGCGGGTCAAACAGTGTTAGCTAAGTTGATGGAGTCTCAGATATAGCACCAGGTTGCCGGCTCTGGGGGTTGGGAGGAAGCTTGGAGGTTTAGAAAAGGGACAATGGCCTCTACTTGTCTTGATGCCAGACACTTTAGTTCCTCCCTTTATGCCACTTGTGCCTTTCAAGCTGCTACCCTGATGCTGGAGCTCAGAGGAAGTAAGTCTGAATAGGTGAGTCTGTGTGTGAATTCTTTAAGAGGAACTGCTTTCAGCTCCAGCAGTTTTTTTCTACTGGCTGGTTTTTGCAGCCAGAATTTGTGGGGACTTATCTTCTTGGCACTGGAACCCTGGGCTGGGGGGCCCAGCTGTGGGGCTAGGACTCCTTGCTCCTGAGAAATCCCTCCTGAATTTTTATCTACCACATGTGAGTGAGGGACCAGCCTATTCCATGTCTGTGCCTCTCCTACCACTCTGGATGAATGTGGTTTCTTTAAGTTCACAGTAGTCAGACTTCCATTCAACTCAATTTCCCATGGTTCCGAGTGATGGTGGTTGTGTATTTTAGTTGTAGTTTTGATGTGGTTATGCAAAGAGGTGAGCCATGTCTGCCTGTGCCACCATCTTGACCAGAAGTCCCCCAATAGGAACATATTTAACAGAAGATGAAAAACCACATAGAAAATATAATGTAAAACATTATGAACAGAAATTAAAGAACATCTAAATAAATGAAGGAAGATGATGGGTCTGTTTCACATTCTACAGAGAATACGCTTGCTCTCAATCTTGTAATTGATAGAATAAGGGAATCAAAGTCAACAAAGTCATTGAATTGTAACTCGTTATGCATCTGGACATTGCTTCTGTAGGTACCATTTTGGCTTTTTGTCAGTCTTGTTTTATAATGAATTGATTTGAGCCTTTCTCTTACTAGACTGTGACTGTAGATAAACTACAAGGAAGTTCTGTTAATATATCTACTGAAGATGGTTTGCTGAAAGCCAAGTATCTTTATACAGAATCTTCATTTCTGTCTTCTGCTGCCGGGGACATTACATTAGGAAGTGTTCATGGTAAGCTGACAAAGGCCTAATATATCTGAGACTATCCACATGATATAAATTTTAAGGGATGACTGTAGTTAAAGGAATTGCCATTAGGAAGCTAGCTCTCTAAATAATTAATTACAGAGTAACCATCTTTTTAAAAACCCTTAAAATAAAGTGACTTATAAGCTATATAATTTGGTAAGAAATTGAATATTATGCTGTTATAGATAAAGGTAGTAATTATGATTTGTAATGCATTTCTTTATAAAAAGATACCAACAACAAAGAAATATGTGCAGGAGATAACCGGAAGGAAGCACAAAGAAATAAAAGCAGTGTTAAAAGTAAAGATGGGTTTTGAGTAGTTGTTTTTATGTATGTTATGATAGGAAAGCTAAGGATTAAACAAATTAATGAAATATTTGTATGGAATCTAATTGTAGTAACTTAGTGATACTAATTTTGACTGAAAAATATTTTACATATGTTAGTACTGGCACCGGGTCCTTTTAGTACTCTGCTGTTTTCAATTTTCTTTGATTAAACATCATCTTGTGACTTTCAAACATGTCTCTATGGACAAGTAATATTACTTAGTTGCTTCATTTTATTGAAAGAAAACATGCTGGTTTTCAGTGTTACTGAGCATGTTTCATAAATTTCATGTAGCAGATGATTCAAGTCTAGGTATGTTCTCTGAAATATATACAGATAGAGTTAAGAGTCACTTATCCTGGCAAAAGATACAGTGTACATACATCTGCTAAATGCCTTTTGGGCCATCTTTCAGGAAATGTAATCTGAAACTTTTTCCGTATACAGACCATTCATTTAACTTCTGTAGGAAAGCTGAATATTGGTACCCATACACTTCGGCAAAACCTCCAGATTTTAGTAGTGAACGTGAATTATTGGGTGGTAGAAAGCATGGCTAGTTCTAGCCAAGCTCTGTAGCAAAATGGTAAATAGTTTACAGTATAAAAAAAGTGTAGGAAATGAGTACCTGTACTGAAATAATTTTTGAGCCTCAATTTAATAGTCAAAACTTTATCAACCATTCTTGCAATGTTAAGGCATGTTTGAGCCCAAAATAGTTGAGTCCAAGGTAGCTGTATCCAGATAAAGCAAATAGTTTGGTTACTTACTCATTTGTTTATTTTTTTACTGAGTAGATTTTAGTGGTAAAGCAGTTTCTTATCATGTCACATTTAATTAATATGCCTGATAAGGGCAGCTCTGTTCTCTACAGTGCTTTATACCATGTTTATACTAAATTCACTAATATTTAATTTTTTTTGCTTTCTTTTAAGTTAGACAAGAATTGTATTTGGTGCGGCTTGTCATTAATAGCTTATATGATAGTAAAACAGATACTCTTTTTTTAAGGCAGTCCTCAAAATACTGTAGGTCTCTTGATTACTTAAAGCAGTTGAAATGGAAAGAAATTGTGGGAATAAAAGAATTAATGATTCCTTAGTTTTTATAAAGCTTTTTATACTTACTGACTTTTAATATGAAGTTAGATACCTTTCCTTGGGTGATTTAAATTTGGGTCAGACCTAGAACCTTTTTTGGACTGTTGTCTCAGGTTGGGTTTCTTGAAAGCAAGCTCTCAGGATGGAAGTTAGAGTGCAGCGTATTTACTAGGAAGGATTTGTGGGACTAATGCCATGCAAAGGAAGGAAGCAAGCCCAGTTTCTGTGGAAGTTGGACTGATGTAGTCTCAAAACCTCAAGAGCTCCTGTAGTTGGGGTGGTTCCCATAATTGTCTCAAGTTGGGATGAGGTGAGCTGGACCTTTATATCCCCAGTTATCAGCAGATGGGGACCAGGTCTGCCTTGGGACCACCTATAGCATGTGGGTTCTTGACTTTGTGCAGGAAAGATTTCACAACACAAGTCCAAGTTCAGGCAAGTCCAGGGGTTTTATTTATTTATTTATTTATTTATTTATTTATTTATTTTAGAGAGAGGGAAGGGAAGGAGAAAGAGAGAAACATCAGTGTGTGGTTGCCTCTCGCACACCCCATGTTGGGGACCTGGTCTGCAACACAGCCATGTGCCCTGACTGGGAATCAAACCAGAGCCTTTGGTTTGCAGTCCGATGCTCAGTCCACTGAGCCACACCAGCCAGGGTGAGAATGTGTTTATTAAAGGTGGGGACAATGAAACAAAGGAAAGACTTAGGGGAAAAAGCAACAAGGGGGAGAGCCTAGGTAGCGCTCTGCCCTGGCTTCCAGAAATGTTATTGTAAAGAAGTGAACCAAGGTAGGGCTGCTGTTCACTGGAAAATCAGAGAAAAGGGGCCTTGGAGACAGTTTCAGGGGTTAAGCCTGCAACGAGCTGCCACTGCGACTGCTCCTCTGATTGCAAGTCTCATGGGTACCCTTAGAGTTTAGGAGAAAGACAATAAAAATTTCATGCCCAAGAACAGACATGGGTGTGCTCCAGAGAGAGCTTGTGCTGGTATCTTTATCTTGAGAGTTTTTATCTTTCTTCTGTGGGCAAGTATCTTAGGGGAGCGTTTCAACAGAATATTCATCAGCTTTCTAGGAACATTTTTAATATGTTGATGCATCAAAATGAGGGCATAGGGGAGTTCGGGATTATTCTCTGGTTAGCTGCACTGCTTTGGGTTTGCCTGTTATTAGGTTTTTGTTATTTGTTCCCTGACTTTATCCATCCTTGGGTTTGGCTGGCACAAATGGCATTCATTGGGTCTTTGTCCTTTATCTCCGTGACTAGGGTGATTTAAGTTATTTATTCTCTGGTCAGAGAGGAGAGGTATAAACCATTTGTTCTCAGGTGTCCTTTGTGAGGGAAAATAAGGTCTTATGATTGATTCAGTAGTTGGCTACAAGTTGGTCAAATTGTTTGGCCTTATTTAATTATTTTTTTTTTAGTTTCCCCATTCCACTTGCCCAGGAATTTTCCAGGCTTACTATCATTTAGATGCAGGCTGTGCCTCAGGAAGGCCTACTGTATGTCGCTGTGTATAATGCACACTTTTTTGCCCAAATTTTTGAGGGAAAAATAAGGGTGTGCATTATACATGGGTAGTAACTGAAGTACCTTATATCTGTTCTTGTGTTGTATAAGTATTTGTTATACCAAATTTTGTGTACCATAATATGTTAAAAATAAATGTTAAAATTCTTTTATAATACAACAAACAAGTGTCTAAATATAAATAAATAAATAAATAAATAAATAGAATTTAAAAATTAAAATGAAAGACTTTTTTTTCCTGAAAATTTGGGCCAAAAATGTGGCTGTGCATTATACATGGCAATACACTGTGTATAATCTTGGGCCAATCGCCTTATCTCAGCCCCTAAGAGGGCTGACAGCTGTCTTTCAGCATTACTTCCAACACCTAGGCAAATAAGCCCTTCAGTTACAAAAGGAGTTCTGGATGGTGAATCACAGCATCCACTAGAGTTATATTTATTGATACATTTAACATACAAGGTGTAACAAAAGTTAGGGTTATAATTTTGAGTACACGAAGCACAGTGTTAATTCTTGTATTAGTATTTATTAATTCTTGTATTATTTTGTATATGATGACCAAACACCTATTTTTATCCCACCTTGTATTTTTTTTAGTAGTGAGTAATGAGTAATGAATGGGCCAATTGAGGAGTAATATTTACTATTTGAAAGATTGGCTGAATCATCATTATTAAGTATTTATGCCTTCTAATACAAAAGAAACTAGTTTATTCATTATCACTATTCTGGTGCTGGGAATCTAGTGAGAGAATAGGTACTTGGATAGTTTGTCTTTAGATAAAAGATTTTGTGACAGTGTACTGTTTTGATTTCCTTCTAAGTTATCAAAATTTAGATTGTGCCCTGACTGATGTGGCTCAGTGGATAGAGTGCCTGCGAACCAAAGGGTTACCAGTTCGATTCCCAGTCAGGGTGCATGTCTGGATTGTGGGTCATTTCCCCAGTAGGGGGCACACGAGAGGCAACCACACATTGATATTTCCCTTTCACCCTCCCTTCCCCTCTCTCTAAAAATAAAAAAATACAATAAAAAAATTTAGGTTGTGTTGAGTACATTTTATTCCACTATTTTAATAAATATTTACAATTGTAAACAATGTTCTACATATGTGACATATACATATTACATGTATTCTACTAAATATATTTAAAAATATAAATATATGTATATAGTCTCCTGACTCTTTTTTTTAAAAAGATTCTATTTATTTACTTTTATAGACAGGGCAAGGGAAGGAGAAAGAGAGGGAGAGAGAGATCAATGTGCAAGAGATACATCTATTGGTTGTCTCTCACCTGCCCCCAACTGGGGACCTGGCCTGCAACCCAAGCGTGTGCTCTGGCTGGAAATCAAACCTGAGGCCTTTCAGTTCACAGGACAGTGTTCAGTCCACTGAGCCACACCAGCCAAGGTGCCCCCTGACTCTTAAGAGAGAAAGAAAATCTTCCTTGAAATGGTTTGTTGGGATTGCTTTTACTTATAAATAATTGAAATGTTGATTAGATTTAATGTGTTGGAATCCTCATGACAGTTATTCTAGTGTTTTATATTTAACTTATTGTTTGGAATAAGTGATTAATGAATATAACTTCATTTTAAGTACTTAGATTCCCTATATAACTTAGGATCTTATTTTAGGTTTTTGGGGGGGTAACATACCTTGATAAATAAATCGCTGAGAATTAGTTTTCTCATTTTCTCAGTCCTTCAAAAGTCCTTTGTTTTCCCCAAGATATAGCAATATGTATGTGCTTAAACTCTTCCTTGAAAAACTACTTTGGATTTTAGAAACTTTCATAGAAAAGTTACATTAACTATACAAGTGCAGTTGATAATTTTGATAGCACTTAGACTTTCATAAAGAAACATCCCAGTCTACCTTAAGAAGGACATATATCACCGACAAATTTATAAATCTGCCTTATAAATTTAGAAAGTCAGAAATAATATAAAATTTTAAAAAGGAGCTTTTATTGGATTAAACAGAATTTTCATAAAGTTTATGAAAA